CTTCACCTTCTCTTGGAAAAACTTGCTGGAATTCTCACAGTGTGGCAGTAGCTGTGCCATGTAACTGCTGAGAGAGTGATGTTGAACTCTGTGATATCTTGAACCTTTTCTCACCAGGGTAGGCTTCCAAATAGTAGTAACCTTCAAGTCAAAATGTTGCGGAAGTTATCACTGTCTTTGCTGAAGTTACAGCCTGAATAACTATATTTAACAACAGTTCGTGAGGTTTCTTGCTCAGATACCGTAGGATCATCTGGTTCTCATAATAGTCATTTTCGTTTGCTAATTAACAACAAAATCTAAATCGTTGGCTTTTTGGCTAGAATATCACTCTTTCACTCATTTCTTTTGATGATGCATTCAAGAGGCAGATATCAGCTGAGTCCAGATTTCCAACTGTGTCATCTATATTTGAAATTCTTTCTACACTGAAGTTCCTTAACAAAAAATAAAGGATTCAGAGAGGACAAGACCACATTTAACTCTAGCAGTACATCACTCCAATAGGGTAGTTCCTAGTTAGAGACTGCAGTACCTTTCACTTACTGATAATATTTCAAAATACATGGATAATTTTGAAAGAAAAACAAAACAAAGCAAAACTAAACAGAGTTTCACTATCTGTTAAAAATATTTTCTTCATTGTCAAAAGCTTTCTGAAAACCAACAAAATTTAGGAGAGGCAGGCAATCTTTTATTGCTTTGTTCAACAATGTTATAGGATCAGTACAAGAATGGACAAAATGAAAACGTATCTGTGCTCCTTGAAACTTACTGTCAGTGAGGATTCTGGCTGACATACCTGTATAGAAAAGCTCCCTTGGCCTGGAACAATGATCCCTCTCCAGATCTTCTCAAGCATTTCTGTAGGGCCTCCTCTTTTCCGTTATTTATTTTAAAGAAGATTATGGGGACTGAGAAAATTCTTTTTCTTTCATATATGAGTGCAAAGTCATAGCACCTTTCCAAGTTTTTCTCTGCTTCCTCTGGACAGATCTCCAAATATTTTATCCTAGTTTACTTTTTTTGCTCTTTAGCTTGTTTATAGATACTTTCATTTTCTCCAGTGTTATTTCTTCTTGGTAAAATATAAGGATCTTCCATCTCAACTGTTGTGAAACTCTGTATCTAAGGGTAGCCTGTCATGCACATGAGCATGGTCCAAGAAGCTTGTCCATTCTGCAGGGGATATTAGAATACTTTCATGTTTGTTCACCAGCCCAGTGTGGGCAAGACTGTGGCTGAGATTTGGATTTTGGCTCTCATCCTCTTAGCCTGTTTGTCAATACACACTTCTTCCTCTGAGTGCTCAGTGTCCTCAACACATTTACATTGGTGTAGCACCATGGCAGAGCTGTCTCTGAGATTCAGTGGCCTGAATTAAAGAATCTAATTAAAGAATACAAGCCAGACAATTATTAGTCCTCCCACTTCAGGGGATTAAGCTGGGTGGGGGGGTCAAGTATGAAATAAACAACCTCGCCCCTGTCATGGGAATGAAGATGAGATTGCATCAAGTTCATCCTCAGCTCATGCCCTGCTCCAGACAATGCAGGAGGACAACATAGCTAGGAAGACAGCCAAAATTTCCAAATCCAGTAGTTTACATCAGCTTTTACCACATTAATCTTCTCTTTACTGTATGTACTAACAGAGAGTTGAGCTATTAGACCTTGAACTGTATTTACAAATAATGAAGTAATTTCTCTTTGGCTCTTCCAGCCACATGGATTTAGTGGGTTCCACTGTGATGTTAGAGACTGTGTTGTTGTACCATATGGGACAAAGTGAATTTGGGAAACAAAGACTGTTGTTATTTTGTTTGGTTTGAAGGCTAACATAAATTAAATGGTAGCATATCAGAGCCTGCTATGAAGAAACCAACACAGAGTCTGACTTTCTCTGCAGTTTGCAAGACTAGTCCACCTAGGTGAGGATTAAAACCTTTGTGACTGTGGAATATGCTTCTTTTCCATGTGTAAGCTTTCACTTCTATTTCTTGTGCAAAGATAAATGATAGATCAGTCTTGTGAATTTTTATGAGCACACACTCCAACAACCAAAACATTCTATTAAAAAAAACCTTTCCAAAATTATATATACTTTGGGTGTATACTCCGCTGGGCCAACAGTTCAAGTCATATCAGGAACCATTAATAAGTCATATCCAGATCTGAAATAATGAAATAGACCATGTATGTTATCCAGGCTTTTAAAAAGACAGGGCAAGCCAAGAAAGGGGAGGGGAGGGGGGGAAAGAGAAGGAGATCAAGCTCTGTGTTTCTACTGTGAAACATCTGTATTTTATCTCATGTACCAGATGATGAAATGACTTTGGAAGCCAGAAGCCACACTAGTGTAAGTTTGATTCACCAAGTGAACACACACACCCTTTCAAATGAATTAGACATTCTGCAAGTTATGGTCAGGTCTTCATTTTCCCTGTTAACTGTAAATACCGCACCCTAAAAACTCATTCATTCCTTGGTTACAAGTTTAGTCTACCACATTCTTCTGAAAAGTACAAAAGGAAAAAAACGGGTATGGAATGAGGTCTGTTGCTGATGCAAACTCAAAATGGAATATGTGCTTCTTTACATGCAGGTAATATATGCTGAAGCAAATTACGCAGCTAAATAGCAGACAGTTCTGTTTACTATTACATACCACCCCCAATAATAAGAGCAACCTCTCACAAGCAGCCATTGACCAATTGCATCCATCTTGCATATTGTTTTTTTCCTAAACACAGAGAAAAACAAAATCAGTAAAAATACACTGGTTGAGAGAAAACTATAATTCAGGCTTTAAAAAGTTTATTT